GGGGAGCAGATAAAGAAGCATTATTACATTAATATAGGGCTTTGATGAAAGACACTTGGGACTATGGTTGCAGCAGCAAAAAGTTACCTAGAGAAACTTGACAGGATGCAGTAGATAGCATTAACATTTGGTTTGGGAGCAGTTAAACCCACACTTATTAATGCACTGTTTGTTGAATCTAATGAATTATCATTACAGTTGAGGAGAACTTATGTTATCACTTACATAATGGATTAAAATTCGGGGGAAGAGGAAATAGTAATTTAGTTCAGAACCACTGGGAATGAACCTGAACTTCATCAGGTAAAGGTTTAGAATGGGAAATTCATTAGAAAGTAAAACAGTACAAATTAGGCACTATACAACACAGTCCAGCAGTTATCAGTAGAAACATTTCACCTTGGATATTTCAACAAACCAAAGTAAATTTACAAATATTAGAGAAGAGAGTGGTCAACCAGAAATTTTAATATTGGGAATCTGGCTCAAGAAATTATAATTAGCAATATATTTACAGATGGTTAAAACACTCAAATAATGAACATGTAGGCGTGGGAATATACATTCCAGAGTTCGATAAGGGGATTACTAAAAGAATAAGTTATCAGTATACACAGCAGATATGACAGCGATAATCATCAGTCTTCAGTGGGTAGAGGAGGTCGAACCAAGTTGTCATATGTTCAAATTCAGCAGCCACATTACAAAGTATTCAATCAGGACAAACAGATGATCTACTGATGGAAATATATATGATTTTACTGAATATACAGCAGCTCTGTATAGATGTTAATTTCTGTTGGATACCAGCTCATGTAGGAATAAAGGTAAACGAGGTTGCAGATAAACAGTTCATTAAATAAAAATGATAATGAATGAATAATATATATATATAATAATACATCAGTGAATTGTGATATCTTATATATAGCCTAAATATGGAATAATGACATTAAGGGTAGAGACTATTGTACAATCCAAAAGTCTGTCTTAAAAGTAGAAAAAGGAAAGGAAAGAAAATGTAATCTCATCAAGGCTGAGATGAGGACATACAGGATTAAATGCGATAAATGTGTAGAAACTGTTGGTGGATGTGTGAAGAGAGGGATAAACCAACTCAGATTTAAAGATCTGTTGACTAAATATTAACAAGAAACGGGCCTAAAAAACATTATAAACTTTATAAACATTATAAAGTCATGATGTTACACTCCGATACAGTAGGTGGCGGTATGCACCTTAACGTTGGTTTGTAGCCCTTCAGTAGACCAAAGAGACGAAAAAAAGAAAAAGAAACAGAAACAGAAGAGGAGACAGAAGAAAGGAAAACGGATGTTATTGTTGTTGTTATCTTTAGAGAGTAATTTGCTGCTTCTACAGATCTGTCTTTGTCCCGCCCTGCTCTGTTTCCGTCCACTGCTGGATCTTGATTCAGGACAGGAGGACTGACAAATGGTAAGCGGAAGAGGCAACGCATGGTACACATGTGCACTCATCCCTACTGGATGATCTGGTGCCACTTATCTAATTCTGTTCCAAAACTATGAATTCCTCTCATTTTAATTTGATATATTTCATATATAGTCACCTCACCTGATATAGAAAAGTTTATTTTCACGTGAATGCAGCACAGCAACCTAGTTATGTTGGGCATCTTTGCTCACTCTCTGTAGCATCATACTTGCACAGAGGAAGAGATTGGTGAGTGATGATGGCAGGTATCTTCCCTGGGACTAAAGGCAGAGTCTGCAGGTGGATGCTGGGGTGCTCTATCATCATCATCATCATCATCATCATTATTATTTATATTATTATTATTATTATTATTATTGTTATTAGAAAGGTCAGTCAGGAAAGTCACTGTCAGGCTAGTGCAGCAGGTCCATCCTGGATACAAAGTGGGACTTTCACTAATGTCAGTTTTCATACATTTAGGCCACAGCTCCTGCACCACCACCACCACCACCCCCTCCTTCACTCTGTACAAACCTGCCCGATAAAAGCAGGTCTCCACCATGCCCTCAACATGCTGCAATACCATTTGAAACCAGCCCTCCAGTCCAAGAGACAAGTCCTTCATCAGGGACTCTACAAGAGGTAAGTGTCTCCTCCACAATCAGGAGTTATGTTGGTGTGAGACTTCTTAAAGCTCTTCTCACTGTGAAATCCCCCAACATCCAGATTTCACCAGCTACACAACAGCTACCAGTGGAAAATGGGCTCCAGGGTCCACCGTCAGAAGGAAAAGACAATCCCTCTGATAGTGAAGATAAAAGCGGTCCAGTGCAGGAAACTGACCCAGCGCCACAGGCACTAAATGGCATACTGGTAAATCAAACTCTTTTTTTTCTTCTTTTTTTTACTTTCCATATCACATAAAACACAAGATGATGTTAATTTTCTTTCTGTCTCAAGATGACAGAGCAAGATGGAGCAGACACTCAGATGGACGAGGCTGGAGAGGACTAATTGCACTGAAGCACTTTAGTTACTGAAAGGTCCAATGTGTAAGATTTAGTGGCATCTAGCAGATGCAGATTGTAACTCACCCTTACTTTACAAGCGCGAGGGAGAAACTCTGGTGGCTGCGAAACACACAAAGAATGTGAAAGGCCTTACCTAGAGCCAGTGTTTGGTTTGTCTGTTCTGGGCTACTGTAGAAACATGGTGGTTCGACATGGCGGACTCCA